TGAGCGACGGATAAAACCTTCATATTATTATTCAGAGAGGTGACCTTGATAACATATGTCAAAATTGTTGAGATCGGAAAATAGTCCGTATAACTGCATAATTACCAAGTAATTATCTATCGTCATTATCGTCTATTGTCATTCTGGTTGTTATCGACGTTCTTATTGTCATTCATTATCTTCTTTTGTTAGCTGCTAACGTTAAAGAAATTTCTGTGTATTACAGCAATGCAATTATGTAATATATTACAAAAACAAAAAAACGCGAAACATACGCATTGTGATGATTAAAAATTTATAAATAAAAATCGAAATTACGCTGTACATATATGTTTGTTACGTCATATTCTTGAATATTCATATATATAAGGAAAATTACTTATACTCCATACTTAAGGAAAATTCTCACGACGTGAAATAATAAATTTGTGCGACTGTTTTGAATATTTTCCGTTTCTCCTATTATGCGATGTATGTTGACGGGTCGAATACAACCGGCGGAACCACAACTAACGATCAAAGATATAACAGAAGGTCCGCATCCGTCGATAAGAGAAGACGTTCAAAATTATTACGCTCTCCGATACAGACCGATGAGTACCAACAATTTTCACGTGTATTAATTTTTATATTTAATCAATTAAGCTGAGGAGATTTTAATAAAGTAATGTTTTTAAATAAATAAATTTGAATTCAAGAAGATTCTGTAATAGTAAATTAACGTGGAGTTGCTAGAATATTTATTTAAATTTATAAAACATAAATAATTTATATAACGTATAATTTTTCTTTTTATTAAAAATACCAATAATACCAAAATACTATTTTTTCTCTCTCTTTCATTTAAATTCATTATAACTCTGTTATATAAATTTCTCTATTGCTTCCAACTTCTTTCTTTATAGCGCTAAAGTACTCGACACAAGGACACACACTTTCTGCAAAACACACACTCTGCACGTAGTGTTTTTTGTTCTTTTGTAAAAAAAACATCATTTACGCAGATATTACTGTTGGCATGACGGTTTTAAGACTGTTAATAACCGCGTTGATATTTGGCGTCGCGACCGCTCTTCCCACCAACAGAGATGCGAGAAATATCTCGCACACGGCGAGTAATTACCGCTTGCCAGACAACGCAGCGCCGATTCACTACAATATCAAATTAATACCATACATCGAGGAGGGTAATTTCACTTTCGACGGTGAATCCAACATCACTGTCCGGATTCGTCGGCCAACGCAGAATTTACGTTTGCACGCGGTGAATCTGACAATCGACGAAGCTGCGACAAGTTTGGTCGACAGCATTGGAAACAGTCACGTGCCCACGGCTCATAATTTCGACGATGTAACGGAAATTCTAATAATCGACTTTGATAATGATCTGTCACCCGGAGTTTATGTTCTATATGTGAAATTTGTTGGTATCCTGACTGACGACGACAATGTCTTCGGCTTCTATAGAACGTTTTATCGTACCGAAGACGATAGAGTGACGTAAGTAATTCTAATATTTTACAACGTTCTTTGCATCGTTTGTTATTTTTTTTATTTCTTTTTACTGATAATTTATCATCTTTGATTTCTCTTGTCACCGCTGTCATTACTTTTTATTCTCATATGTACAGAGTGTCTGATAAATTTTGACAGGCAAAGTGTGAAGATAAATTAGGGTCAATCATATTAATTAATTAATAACTCAATGTTGAGAATTTTATTGCACAAAGTGGTAAATGACTTTTCAGATCGATCCGATATATCTTTACATTTCGGCTGTGTGTCAACATTTTTCAGACACTTTGTACACGCACGCATACACGTGTACGGAACATTTTGATTTTTCTTTCTAGATATACTTAATATTTTTTTAAATTAATTTTTATACTATTTTTAAAACCTGTTTGCGAGTAAAATCTTTTTCAATCAATTATCTGATTAATGTTAAACCACCAAGCAATTTTGACAAAAAAAAAAATCAAAATATAAGCACGCCACGTTCATCTTTTGATCAAATGACACACATTGTTGCCAGATAGAAAGAAAGTCTGAGTTTTTGGATTATTGTGAAATATATTCAACAGCGTTTCGCTTAATTTTTCCACATATCTCACAACTCTCATTTTCACAATGGATAAAAATTTATCGGAAGCATGTCGTTGCAATCTAACAGATGGTTGGTCGCAACACAGTTCGAACCCACAATGGCCCGTCGTGCATTTCCTTGTTGGGACGAGCCGGCGTTAAAAGCCACCTTCAATATCTCGATAAAACACAACCGAAACCTCACGGCTCTGTCGAACATGCCGATGCGAGAACAAACGGAAGACGGCAATGAAGATGGCATGATATGGACGCATTTCGAAAAGACTCCGATTATGTCCACTTATCTGGTTGCGTTCGTCGTGTCCGATTACGTTCGTATTCCAACTGAAGACAGTACCGTAAACGTGTGGTGCAGACCCGCTTTGGCACCGTACTCACGCTTCGTGGAAAGAGTTGCCACGCAGTCCGCAAAGATATTGACGGAATACACCAACACTACCAACAAGGTGCCAAAAATGGATCATGTCGCGACGCCGAAATTTCCAAACGGAGGCGCCATGGAAAACTGGGGACTCATCATTTATGGGTGACATTGAATTTTAGAGAAACGTCTTCGTTTTAAGACGACGTTGTTCGTTTATTTTGCATTTGCAAAATCTATATACGTTATCCACACATAAATTTACATTTTTTTATTTTAATTAATAACAAACAAACAAGTGTGCAAATTGTAGAATAAAAGTTCAGATTCTGTTGATCGATGTATTTAGAAAAAAAAAAAAAAAAACGAATCTTAAGGATTAACGCATTGATTATTACCACAATTTTTAGTGAAAAGGATTTCACCTACGATGAGGAACAAAACACAACAGAGGCGAAGCAAAGAATAGCAGAAGTAGGAGCGCATGAAATCACACATTACTGGTTTGGTAATTTAGTCACTCCGTCATGGTGGTCCGAGGTGTGGTTAAGCGAAGGAATCACGACGTTCTTCACGGAACATCTTCTCGACGAGGTAATTCTGTGTGACATTCTTTTAAAATTCAAGTAATTCAAATTTATTTAAATATAAAAAAAAAAGAGTTTTTCCAGAAAAACTTATCGTATTGTTAGAATAGCAGTTTGACCGATTTTATTGATCGAAACTTCATTTTGGATTTAGCTTTTTCCCGAATGGCAAAGAATGAATTACTTCGTGGTTAAAGTTCAACAAAAGTCCCTCCATAACGACGTTGAAAAAAATATGATGCCTGTTATGGCAGACGTTAACACACCCGACGAAATTTCCTCACTTTTCTCGGACTCTAGTTACGCCAAGGGTGAGAATAAATAGAGATAAATGTTATTAGCGCCTTGTGTTTCTCATTCATAAACAATTGTAGCACAAAGAATTTATTTTATTTTTTTTCTAAATAATTCTATTCCGTAGCAAAACTAATTTACTTATCTTCGGTCTATCTTCAAAATAAAACGAAATGTTTCTCTTTCTGATTACAATTGTTCCAGCACCTTCTATAGTGCGTATGCTACAACATATTGTTACCAAAGATGTGTTTCGAAAGGGCATTATTAAATTTCTGCACGCCAAGTGAGTATTATTTATTTCACTTTAGAAAAATTTTGGCAGAAGCACACAATCGTACGAAAAAAAAGATTTGCTAGAATAGCAAGAAGATTAATTACTGTATGACCAGCAAAAACAATTTGCTAATTTACTATTGAACTTTGTTTCGTCAACGTTGATAGAACAAAAACTTCAGTAAATTTTTGTTGCTGGCCATATAATAGCAAAACTTTTTTCCGTGCACATAACACTAACGTGTAGCGTCATTTGTGCAGTTAATTATGTCACATTATTTAATAATCTATTAATAATATTTATCAATAATTTTTCCTCATTTTTATTTCGTTGCGTTTAGTCAGTTCGGTTCAGTTACTTCCGACGACTTTTGGACCGCTTTGCAAGAAGCCTTAGACGAGTCGGATGTCTCGCACGATTACAAAATAAAAGAAGTAATGGACGCGTGGATAAAACGAAGGCATTATCCCGTGGTAAACGTGACTCGAAATTACGAGAACGGCGACGTAATACTGACGCAAGAACACTATCGCCCGCAAAACACCACCGACAACGACAAGTGGTGGATACCCATCACTTTCGCAACGCAATCGAATCCTGATTTTTCCAAGACTTCTCCCTCTTTTTGGTTGAGACCGCAAGATCAGTCTGTGACTATAAAAGGAATCGATCCGAACGACTGGATCATCGTCAACTTACAGGAAACGGGTGAGTGACGTGTCGCGCGTATATTGTCGTTTTATTTCTCAGTATTATTACTTATCGCACAGGATATTACCGCGTTCAATACGACGACAACAATTGGTGGAAGATTGCGACTTACCTCAATTCGGACAATTACACAAAGATTCACGTGCTTAATCGCGCTCAGCTTATCGACGACTACGCTCATCTTGTAAGTTCCACCTCATTCGATGAGAATTTGTTTATTAAGTTCACGGAGTACTTAAGCAGAGAAACGGACGATATACCATACGTGTCCGCGGCGAAATTGTTAGAAACACAAGCGACCTTCTTCAAATTGCCAGACTTTTACCAAATTATCAGCTTCGTAAAGGTATGAAAACATATGTGTGTTTGGCCTTGGTCTAAGAACAAAATGTATATACATTTAAGATGTGCATCTGGATAATTCTCAGTTGTCTTATATAGACATCGTTTTCAAGCAAAAATTTAACAGCGCGTTTATATTGTGATTTACAGTCGCACGTACTGAGAACCTTGAGCGCGCTTGTCAAAAGAGTTGGATACGAAGAAGATCCGGCCGAGAATGACGTTAGGAAGCTTCAGAGAAGCTCGATTTTAAAGTGGGCATGCACTTTCGGTCACTCCGGGTGCAGAAAAATGGCCACTCTTAAAATGAACGAACATCTCGCAGATCCCGAAACACACAAGTAATTTGTTGTAATTGTCGAACGAATAAAACGCGTGATCTTTAAATTGTCGAATTAGTTATTAGACAAAGCTTCATACGTGTATTTGTGTGTGTCAACGTGTATTTAATGTAATTTCATGTACAGTAGAACTTCAGTAATTTCGAGCGCATGGGACCGCACGACTCTTCTTAAACTTCGAGATTATCTTCTTCTATACCAATCGATTGGTAGCAAGAGAGATTTTTTTTTTTCTAGACTCTCAGTAGCAGATAAATTCTATTTGTACGGTCACTCAAGAATATTGAGGAGTCGTCAATAATGAAAGAATCTATTGGCCCACTTATAACGAAGAAATTGCGATGATCGATATTACTGTTGAGTTCTACTGTGTGATACAATTCAATATTTTTTGTAGAATTCCGCCAAATTTAAAGGATTGGATATTCTGTAATGGCATGATGGAAGCAAACGCGTCTACGTTGTACAAATTCGTAAAACAATATGCCACGTCAGACGAGAACTTTTTAAATTACTTGACTTGTTCGGAAGATCCTGAAATATTACGTGATATTTTAAACGTGTTTTGGAACGAGTCGGCAATAACAAATTGGGAGTACGAAACGATTTTTGATACTATTGTCGAGAAACACGCGGACAATGATTCGGTGCTTGATAATTTATTAACAACTGTAAATAACACACTCTCCAGGTAATAATTAATCCCATAACTCTGTGTGCTACATAATGTGTTCGATAGCTAACATATATAATAAATGTTTTCTCCTTTTATTAGAGGGTACACGCCAAAAAAGATATTTACAGATATTACTAATAATATTTATTCTACCGACCAACTTGAAAAGGTAAGGTGTCTCTTATTTTCGATGCGTTAAATGAACTGTTTCTCCTCTTTTGTCAGTAAAGTCCGTAAACTGTTTGATAATTTAATATTTTAGATAAGCAACTTTGCAAAAAATAACTTCGACGACAAAATATTCAAACAGATTGAGACCACGATAGACGAGCGTAGAGCTAAACTGTGCGATGTAATTGCTGGACTTCCATTAAAAAATAAACTCGAATGAAAAAAAACTCGAAGAATCGAAACAACAAGCGAAATATGTACGCGTATATTTTTTATGTATCATGTTATTACTGTTAATAGAAAAAAAGAATTTGTAGTGAAAGCAAAATACTATAAATTCAATATAATACTAAACTACTACACACTATGTCGCGTATGTTTTATTACTTGTCGATCCTGTTACTTTTTATAAATATCAGAAAATGCATAAAAAAGAGAATTTGTTTTGCCGCGTCAAAAAGAAAAACGCAAGTTATTATTTTGATGATTGTAATATTATATTAAACGCAATACACGATTTATTAATAATTTTTACCATAAAACATCTATTGCACTTTAACGTAACATATTTTCCTTTTTTTTTTTTTTATGTTGAAACGCAAGTTTTTCAGTGAAAAAGTATACTTTACTTGTTTCCTCGAGAGAAAAATATTCTGCTTTACTTTAACCTTTGAACTTATTTACCCACTTTTGCAAAATGTATCTAGAAAGCTTAAATAAACGCAAAATTTGTTTCTCAACTAATAAACTAGTAGAGTCGATATTGTTGCCACAGAAGCTTGTACGTCAGTATTCACTTATATTTTGCATAACTTGTGCAAAATGTAATTAAAATATAAGAAAGTAAGATATCCACAATAATAAATATAAATTTATAATTAATCTATAATTTTGTGTGCAATGACAACTTAGTTTACGCAATTAGCGTAGTACAATCACTCGCGTGAAAAAAAGTACAGAACAATTATTACACATTCTTACGTAACGTAGCAAAGCAGCAACTGGCTAATATTTTATCGCAACGCGTTTCTAACTATGCAAGTCATATAAAACTTCATATTAATTAATGTCTGTCTGACTTCCTAATGCTTCTCCATGCTAATGCATCGGACCTTTGAAGTTGTTATTTTACAAGGTAAGTGCGACTTCTTTTTTGCTATGTATATACTAAACCTGATATTTACGGAAAATATTTGCAGAGTCTGTACATTCTATCTGCGCGATTTAATAAAAGAAAATCTCTTCAACATTTTAAAGACTTTCTTCTTTTCGTAGATTAATTATTATCGAATTAACTTTCTTGGTCCTAAACTTTCCTATAAATCAGTAACGTATAAAATACCGTGTATCTATAAAGTGTGCCCACCAAATACATCAACTAATAAACTNCGTAAAAACAAACTTCGACAACAAACGCATTCGAGCTGATCGCATTTATGTGCGTAACACTGATCGACATTTAATCTGGTAAAATCAAGACAAAATGCAAAAAGGCTTTGTTAAAGCTCCTGAAATTTCTAATGGTTTGAGCGTCCGAAAGTTTGAATAATTGCAATCATAAACANCACTTTTTACATGTGTAATATAACTACACTCATACAAAAAAAAACACATTTTAAACTTTAGGTAGCNGTTAAACTATTTTTGCGACATTAATAAAAAACTAAAATGCAATAGATGATCAATATACAAGTTAAAAAAAGTCAGATTTATTAACCGTTAAGTTG